ATAATAATTAATATAATAATAATTATTATATTAATAATTATTATTTTTATAATAATTAAATTAATATAATATAATATTATATATTATTATATAATAATATAATTATATTATATTATTTTATTAGTGTAAAAAATAATATAAATTAATAAAATTAATTATAAGTAAATTTAATAAAAATAAATGCCGGGTTATTTCAACAATTGTCGACAAATTGTGTTCCTTTTTTTTAATTTATTTATTTTTTTGTTTCCCCTATGATTTTAAAGTCAACCATATTGGTACAGCCATATTGCATATCTTCTTATTGTTTCTTTTCTATTTTTATATGTTTTTTTTATTAATTATATATATAATTATAAATAAGAAATATTAAATGAATAAATATAAAATGAAATGAGTGAATGAGTGAAAGAATGAATGAATATATATTCATTTTAAAAGCAAATGGTTCTTATATCAAAAGTATGTTTTCAAGGACACCACTGTGTGATATAACATAATATACGATATTTGCATTTAACTCGATTTCATTGTCAAATAATTGTAACTTAAAACGACACCTTGAAACTAGATACTGTGAGAAAGAGAGGAAAGGGGTTGAGAGGGGGAAAATAGAAAGGATAAGAAAAAGGGAGGGGAGAATAAACAAAAGCACGTCGATCCGATCGTTGAATGAAATTCAATCATCATTGATACGTCTTACTTTTCAAGAACAATTTTACATCATTGGCAAAAGTTCATAGGCCTAAGATTTAGTTGATTTTTTTTTTAATTATTATTATTATTATATATATTTTAATATATTATTTTTATCCGCTTTTTTATTTTTGCACGCTTGATCGCAATCCATTGATTGTCGAAGACATTTGTTCCTTCGACTGTACTCGAGATGTTCGTTCACGTTCGGGGAGTTTCGAGCGTGTTCGGCCGGCATCGTAGCGTGACAATGAAAATGAGCGCGAAACCAAATCAAATAAAATCTTTTCTTTTTTTATTTTCTTTTATTATTATTTGGTAAGGATAATAAAAAGTTTGGTAATTAAATTGAATCGATGACAAATCAAATGCTTCTTCGTTAGATTACAATGATTATTAATAATAGTAATAATAATAATAATAATAATAATGATAATAACGCGGAAAATATCGATCTGACAATGAGCTCGAGGCTACCCTTTGCAAAGATGCGAAAGATACATATACTTATATATTTATCTAAAGATGAAAATATAAATATTTGTAAATAAAAATAAAAGTTAGAAATAAACTCTCTCTCTCTCTCTCTCTCTCTCTTGTTATGACTAACGTAGCATTCGTTAAATTAAAATAAAGTAAAGTAAAAAAAAGAAGAATATTATTTAAACAGAAACGTTGACAATGACAAGTAAACTGGTATTGGCCCTAGGAAAGGGTTGCTTATATGCATGTATGTAAGTACACATGGGAAAGGGAGGAAGGGATGATGTAAAATGTAGCAATATCGCTAAAGTTTTTGTCAAATTTCAAACGCACGATCTATTACGAATTGAATTACAAATTTTCATCCATTAAAAAGAAAAACAAAAGTAGAATTTTATTGCGTAGTAGCATTCCATGAAATCATTTTGAAAATAATTTAAATTACAGAGGTAGTGGAATGATACGCACCTAGAAAACTAACTTGACGAAGAAGAAGTTGTACGTTTGTTTTTACCGTTACTTTCGTTGACAGGCTTTGTAGAATTGTTCTTGTTGGGTTAAATCTCTTCGAAAACTCGATGTTGTTGACTCTTTAACTGGCATGTATAAGTCTCAATGAATTATGTCACCGGTCTGTTCGGCTAGTGTTTTTATGGGATATGGCCTTCTCCAAGTGAAGGGTACCACTGATTCTTCCTTCCCGAAGTTTCGAAGCAACCGAAAGCTCGTCCCTATCGATTCTATTTTCCTCGACAGGTTAGCCAACACCTGACTGACAATAATCATATTTACGTATACACATATACATAAATATATACGCATATAATACATTACGGATTCCCTAGAACATTTAAAGGGAAAACTGACTTTTTTATTGGCTAGTAGATACATCGATAGATATGAATCGACCAATCAGATAATAAAAATTGTTTGATAACAAGATATGCAATTGGTTGTTTATTTAAATCCTACTTTCTCTACTGTTAGTCGTACATATTTGCTTTGATCTGGAAATATCCGATGAGACCTGGAAAATAAAATAAAAATAATAAGTTCATGACATTATTGATATTATCATTAAACCAACTTTAACCTGTATTTATCCTCACGTAATCGTTGAAACACGAGTTCGATGCGTTATCTAAAAAAAAGTATCCACGATACAGTTATGACGTAAGCGTCGCGATTCGATAGATCGAACCGACATTTTCCTTTCTAGTTTAAATATTTACCGCGAATTTTTACCATAAGTTAATTCCGCCAATTAATAAAGATTCAAAAATTATAACCTATTTTACATTGTCAGATAACGTATCGCTACAAATTATGGCTTTTCAGAATTAACGTTTATTATTATTATGATTTATCATTTGTCAAATGTTAAGAATATATCAATTTATGTCTTATCTGTTGTCTTTTGTTTTTGTTTACCTTACGTTTGAAATAAACTCCTCTCTTCATCTTTTCCTAAAATTCAAAATATTTCGATTAAACTATTTACGCAAATATCGATTAATATTGTTTCGATAAATCGTACAATTTTTTTTCTGATTCATTAAAAAAAATATTTTAAACAATGACAGTAATGACATTTGCATTTTGATAATAGTATTCAAAGTATATTACATAAATGTACAATGATCTTTTTTTTATAATCTTAATATATATAAATTACGTGTCACGTTGTTTGTTCGCAATGGACTCCTAAACTACTGAACCGATTTTAATCAAATTTTGCACACTGTGTGCAGTTTCATCCAACTTGAAAGATAGAATAGTTTATATCTCAATTTATAATTGCAATTGACTTAAAGACGTGTGTATCGGACTGATTGTGAGCCACAGCAACGCATGGCAGGGCACCCCTAGTTGTATTTAAAACCTTTGGTCATTGTAATTAATAAATTGACTAATTTTTAATATTAATACATATATATATATATATATATTATGTATAAGCAACAAAAACTATAATACCTTTATTAATATCAATGAACATACATTTTTCTTATATATTGTCATTGTTAGATAAGAGGATACGCAGCTCCAACATAATTTTTATTATTCTGCTGCCATTGGTATGTTTGAATATTAAATTTATGCGTTGCAAATGATATTCTACATTTTTCATTAGGTCTTGTATAAAAGCATAGCGTATAAACAGCTATTTCTAATTCTGGTAATGTTCCAATCAATATAGTCGACACTTTATGTTGTTGTTTAAAATTAAAATGTATTTTAGCAAGTGCAGCTTTCTGAAAAAAAAAAAAAAGACAATTTTTTTCTACATTAATACAAGTTGAATTCTATAGAATAAAAGATTTTTAATTGAAAAAAAAAAAAAAATATATAACTTACATTATCGAAAAGAACTTTACGTCCATAACCGAGATAATTGATATTATTTAATGATTCTTGTTTAGCAAAATAAATCCAATTGTGTAAACCAACAATACTATTATCCTTTTTTCGTTCTAATAGAAATACATGCTCAAATCCTGAACTACCAATGGATCCTTTAATTCTTGAATATTGTTCAAACCAAATAGCTTTCAATATGGTTTTATAAGTCTGAGTATTTTTTTCAAAGTAACCTTTTGTAGCAAGAAAATTCATAACAGTTGTTAAAATGTCGGATGACAAAAGAGTGTTAATAAAATCATCTTCTTCAGCAGTTTCTTCTTTAGTCACGACTTCCGGTTTACTTATATCTATCTCATAATTATCAAAGAGTTTGTTTAGTTTAATTATTGTCGGATGTGACAAGACATTCGTGGGAATTCTGAACAATCTGAAAATAAAAAAATGGAGATCGAAGTAAGCAAGATATTACATTGTATATTAAATTGTATAAAATAATAAATTGATTGAAATGTCTTACGGTTTTGGAGCATTGTCTGTTACATTATCTCTTTGTATCCATCCTTGAAAACTGACAGTAATATTTCTGTAAATACAACATGTATCTCTTTGAAACAAATCTTCTGTTATTCGTTGTAATTCTGCATCAGTTATTACAGGAGGTTTTGGTGTAGTATTTTGTAATACTACATTAGTATTCTTATTATTATTATTTTTATTATTATTATTATTCTTATTAGCATTAATATTTTGTCCTAAAAAATTAATGTCACTTTAATTTATTCATTTATTAAAATATATATATATATATAATCATGTATGGAAAGTAATAATAACCTGTTGCATGACAGACAAATAACAAATTAACAAATATGTTAATTAAGAAAAAATGAATCATAGTGCAACTTATCAAATACATCTTTGAATAAACTTTTTAACTTAAATAAACAAATGAATATAATATAGCAAATAATAAAATATATACAAAAATAACAATTTTTTTAAATGTCAAACAATTCACATTATTACCAATTTGTGGTAACCTAAATTGTCATACTTTCACATTCTTTCACGAAAGAATACAGAGTAGTACATTACTAGAAGTACAAATTACTAGATCACTTTTTTTCCTAATCAGATTCATCTTAATTACTGCAATGACCACCAGTGGGCGATAGTATGTGCTTAATTGTGGTATCACTGCTCACTAATACCACTATATTAAATGATATACAAAGTGATTAACGCGTGTAGATAACTTTATTGATGAATCTGTATTTAATAAATATAATAAGTAATTAAATTCAGTTATAAAACAAATGGTAAGTATAAAAGCGTTGTGTGTGTGAGTATGCCATTAACTATTGTTCTTTCGTTTTTAATGTTTAGGTCTGTTTTATCATTTGAGGTATAGTTGTGTGAACGGCCTGCAGAGGCGTGACTGTAGATACGTGTCCGCCATATAACGTAGTACACAGTTATATTGTATAATAAAATTTTTAATAATTATATTTAATTTGTTGTGTATAAAAAAAACATGTGTGTACTTTCAGAGAAATGTATTTATACATATATTTAAAAAAAAAGTAGTCATTTCAAGAGTTTTAATAGAAAAATATCTCAAAGGTTTGTAATTAAATCTAACAATGTACAACCTGTAACACCTGTAACAAAAGAGACTGTAACAAAAAGAAAACTATATTATATTATTATATTATAATGTTTATTGTAAGCGGTCTTTAGCTAGATTTCACTTACCATTTAATGTATATCATATAAAATATGATAAACATTACATGGAAAGTAATATCCATTGCCCAGGTCTAACCACGAGGAGGTAACCGCTTCCGAAGACCCATATTTTAATAAATATTTATTTAAATTTTATTTATCAGTAACACATATCAATGTTAATATAAAATTACCTAAAAATGGTAATAGTAATGTACCAACATTATAAATACCAATGGTAATATACCGACATGTTTTAAATCATCATCTATTGGGATCTCTAGCAATTGAATATGTCATCTGGTGGCTAAATTCAAAATTAGAATAGATAGGTCGAATTGCTACGCTACGTGGGATCTCTAGCACTTGAATTACGCTATCTGGTGGCTAAACTCAAAATTAGAGTAGATAGGTCGAATTGCTACGCCGCGCCCCTGCCAGAGATCCCAATAATTTTTGTTCACAAACTTTTTAAATATTTAAAAATAATAATAAATAAAAGATTTATTTATTTATTTATTTATTTTAATTATATAAATGTTATATATATACGAACATGATTAGTTTTCTGACGTTGAATGCATTGGCACGCTTTCGTATATGGAAAGATCATTGCAGGGACATGTTTTATTCGATAAATTAAACCCATCGATATTTTTGATTTTATCTAAACAACGTAAACAAAATTTATAATAATTCATCGATTTATACAATGGATTGTCTAAGAGAGTCAATTCTTCCAAGTTTTTCAACAATGTTAATTTTTCTAATTCATCTTCGTTCTGAAATAAATTGATTAAACGATAAAATAATAAATAAAACAAAAATACGAATATTATATAACTTATTCTAAGTAATTTTAACTTTATTTTATAATTAAATTATTAATTATTAGGTCTACCAGAAAATTCTGTTCGTCCAAACAAACATTAGTTCAATTTTTCGTCACTAGGGGTAAGGCCCCATACAAAGTGCCACCATGTTGGCAAAAGTTCAAAAATAATTCAATTAATTAATCATTTAAATTAGGAACGATTCATTATTTTATTTTATTTTCAAAATGGACAGAATTTTCCGGTAGACCTAATATTTTTATTATTAATATTATATAACTTACAGTAATAAGATTATCGGCTACATACAATTGTTTCAAACGCGACAATCGTTTAACAAAATTCAAATTTTGAATTTGATTACTTTCGATAGATAAACAAGTAATTATATTATTTTCATTGAAAGAATTTTCTTTTATATTTTTTATTTTATTATGATCTAAAATTAGTATTTCCAAAGTCGAATTCTTTCGTAGACCTTGAAACATGTAACGAATTATATTAAATACAAAAATAATATTAAAAACATTAATTTAAAATAAACGGTACTTACGTATTAATGCCACCGCAGCAAAAATTTCGCTAATGCGCCAATAAAGAGCAATCTTGTTGTTAGCACACAACAACCTTGTTGTTTGCACACAGCAACTGTCAGAATTGTGTCAGGGTTTCGTCAGGGTTATGGCGACAGCATCAGGTGAAAGAAAATAGAGACTGTCTTGAATCTACGTTAAATTTTATATCGGCCCATTTTTCACCGAAATTCGATTGACTACTTTTTATAAATAAAATGTTTTGAATTTTGAAAGTGTTTTGATTTTAAATATTATTATTAACTGGCATTAGGAACTCGAAAGTTCATTGCCGCAAATACCAAATCCCATCATTATTCCCATACCCTAGTAGAATCCATGGCGGCTTTCTTTGTTTCTTGATAAAGTCTTTTTATGGAGTGGGGTAATCAGACCTACGCCCAACCCCCGAACAGGAGAGCCAATTCCAAATCGGCTGTCCGCGATTGCTTATTCAATTTATTCGCAGCTAACCTCTGTCCCTATGCAGGACCAAGAGGCCCTTCCTCTATCCGCAACCTGAGGACGCGCTGTGTTGTGGTGACTGGGACCCACCCACCCCGGGGACCACTACAAACTAGTTGTCCTTCCTCGAGACTAGTAGCTGTTATGCTAAGTTTTTTATTCTATGATTTGTCGCAACAATTTAAAGTGTAGATTGGCGCATTAGCGGAATTTTGCTGCGATGGCGTTAATACGTAAGTACCAAAAAAAAAAAAAAAACGTAAGATCACCATAAACATTAGAAAGTTTATTATGTTGTAAAAAGAGATGTTTCAATGTTGGAAATAGATTGAAATCATCGTCCCACGTTATTGAGCCAATACGATTATGATCCAAATATAAAGTAGATAAATTAGAAAAGCAATCAAAATTGTTCAATTTATTATCCAATTGGAATGTCTCCAAACGATTGTAACTCAAACGTAAAGTTTTCAGTTTAGGAAGAGTATTTAAATTTTCCATAGAAATGATTTGATTTCTACTTAAATCAATGCTCTCCAAATTAGGTAACAAATTGGAAGGTAAATTTATCTGTTTGATAGACATAAAATGATTACAAATATTTTTAGCAAATTTATTTACTAAAATGTTGAAATAGAAACCTTTTTAATAGAACATTTAACGACATCCAATTGTCTGAGATTTGCTAATTTTATTCCAACGTTCATGTTCATCAACATATTTCGATTCAATATATTTCCATATGTGTTTCTTGTTTCCATGATATTTGATTTTTCTACACATTGTCCAGAAATGTACTGTCAATTATAAACAAACATATTATTGTTCATATATCTATAATGAAAAAAAAAAAAATAAAATGTTAAATGAAACGTTCAAATGTACCTTGAGATCAATCAAGTGAAATATAAGAAAATCTTTGTAAACAATTGAGGATTCAATTGGATTATAACTAAGATCAATAATCTGTAATTTGTTCCAATTTTGTAGATTTTCAATATCTTTTAATTCTTTAATCTTATTATGGGCACAATAAAATTCCATTATGGTATTGTACGAACCCAATGATTTCAAGGACGTTATAAAATTATTGGTCAAATCGAGATACTTCAATCTTGGCAAATGTTTTTGCGTCAAACCATCCAAATCGCTGATGCAATTGTCATTCAAATGCAATCGTACCAAAAACATTGACGGTTTTTTCAAATGCACTCGACGAATCGGACGATGTGAAATAAAAATTGTCGGATGTCTGTCGTAAAATTCTGATAAAGTATTGCGTGCTATTTTTAAACTTAAATTTTTACAATCTTTTAAATGTAACGAATCAAAATGATTTGTTAATTTTGGAAAATAAACACGGGTTAATAAAATAATTTTATCTCGTTCAACTACATCACAAAATGGATTTCTTTCAAGACACAGTGTTTTCAAATTTGGTGTAAACATTTTCAACGTTTCAAGACTTTCTTTACAATTTGTTAAACAATTCCATGAAATATCGAGCTCTTCCAATTCTAATAATTTGTCGTTTAATTTAATTATTTTTATTTCATTGAAACTAATGTTTATTTTGTTAACTTTAATGATCATTTGACAATTTGGAAATTGTTCGAGATGATTATAAGATAAATCGAGTTCCTTCAAATTTGGTAATTTCAAAGAATCCTCTTGTAGTGTTTTGATATTTCGTCCAGTTAAATTTAATTTTTGTAATGTCACAAATTTATCTTCGTCCATTCGTAAAAATAATAAAATATTTTGTTCAGTTAAATGTTGAAACGATGAAGTTGCAGGATGATGTTTCATTTGTATTTCTTCTTCAACATTTTCATTCAAATCGTCCTATCAAACGTACGAATTATTTTTTTTATTAAACAATGAATAATATTTTTTAAATATTTAATTATTATATTATTTTTTCAAGGTATACCTCAAATATGTACTCGTATTCAGCAACAAATACAATATCAAATAAATATTCTTCTGTTAAAACGTACATTTGACATGAACAATCAACATCTTCAATTTGTTTCGTTTTTGATGAATGAATTTCATCTACACATCGTTGTCTAAATTTTATTTCACATATAAAATGAAATTAATTGAAATAAAACAAATTATTTGAATGATTTTGTGTGACTAGTTTGATAATTTGAACAATTTCAATAATACTTACATTAAAGTACAACGATGAAATGGTACGTGTAAAAAAATTGAAACTCTTCTTTTTTCACAAGGGTTAAGAAACATTTTGTTTTTCAATTTATCGTAAAATTTAGCATCGGCAATAGCTAAACAATTTGTTATACGAATGCTTTCCTAGAAACAATATTAAAACAAATACAATTGAAAGAAATTATTAAATTTAGAAAAATATAATTGTTATAATTATTTAATCATATTCATGTAAATTAAAAATGAATAAACTAATTCATTAATATTATATATATGTATATAAATCAAAAATAAATAAATTAATTCATTAATATTGTATATATATATATATAATCAAATTATAAAAATATATTATTATATTAATAAAAATAAATTAATTATAAAAATATATATTATATCAATAAAAATATATTAATTACAAAAGTAGAAATGAATTAATTATAAAAATAAAAAATATATTAATAAAAATATATTAATTACCAAAATATATAATTATAAAAATATATAATTATAAAAATTAATTAATTACAAAAATAGAAATATATTAAATAAAATATATATTATTAAATAAATTATTAAAATAAATAATAATAAAATATTATTAAAAAAAGTAATATAATATATATTAATTAAAAATATATATTATATTAATAAAAATATATTAATTACAAAAATATGTAAATATAAACAGAAATTAATTTATTGATATATACATGTATATATCAATAAATTAATTTAAATATTATATATATATAATTAATATAAAATTGTTTCTTGTAAAACTAAATTCATCTAAAATCAAACCAATAAATAAATTATTTTATTAATAATAATTCGATAATATTAAATACGAGATTAGAGTTGAAAAAAGTTAAGTTTTGAGGTTATATAAAAAAAAATGGAATAAGTTTACCCTACAAAAAACTCTTGAACTTTTAATAATATTAAATTCTTTTTACTACGAATCCCTTAAAAAATAAAAAAAACATTCTATTCAACATTTGATAAAATAAAATTGATTGAAAATATAATTCACTTGATTATAAAATTCGCTTTTAAGTACGTTCATTGGCCATTCACGAATACTTCGAACTCCTGGCATTGAAGCTAAAAGTTTCAAACTTTTTTCATTTTTTTCGTTCAATATTTCGATTTGTTCATTCCAATTATGATACTCGCTTATTTCCTTGTGAAAAACTTCTGTGACACGATACAAACGTATTCCTGTTATACCTGTTTCCCTATAAACAATTTAACAATTTTTTCAATAAACAATTAATATACAAATTATTTCAATGAAATTAATTGTCAACAGTTTGATACTTTTTTGTTAATGGACACAAACATTCTTCTAAATTGATTTGACAAATTTTCATTAAATCATCCCCTTTGTTTTTATATTCTCGTAAACAAACATTATCGCAATAATGGGTGTGCAATTTCAATTGTCGACAAGTGATCTATCTAACGAAAAATTCCATTAAAATTTAAACATTAAAATCATGTAAAAAAAAAAAAAAAACACAAGAATTTTTCTCACTTGAAAATAAATCGATGCCATTTCTTCTTTTTCTTTTAACATTTTTTCTTGATATTCCATTAAACATAAAGTTTCTTTTTGTGATGAGATTAATTCTTGATTAACTTCTAAATTAGACTGTTAAAATTAAAATTCAAACAATATTTATTTCGTTCTGTATTATATAATTATTATTAAATATTATAAAAACCTGTAATTTTAAAATTCCAATATGGCGAAGCAAATCTTTCAAGTGTTTCTCATTTTTTTGAAATTTCTCGTGCATATCTTTCAATGATTGGAAATAATTGTTCATATTATTGTGCAATACAATTTTGCAATACATCATCTTATTCCTGTAAATTGTATATTTTTTATTATATAATAAATAATACAAGAACATATAATATTGGGACTTCTAGCACTTGAATACGCTATCTGGTGGCTAAATTCAAAATTACAGTAGATAGTTTAAATTCCTACCCCACGTGGTGGGATCTCTAGCACTTGAATACGCTATCTGGTGGCTAAATTCAAAATTACAGTAGATAGATCGAATTGCTACGCCACGTGGTGGGATCTCTAGCACTTGAATACGCTATCTGGTGGCTAAATTCAAAATTAGCCCTTAAAGTGCACACTTGGTAATAGTTAATTAAAGTGCACTGTGGGTGTTTAACACCCCAACGTGTTTGAATGCGTCTCCTGAAGCCGCTATTTAATATTTAGCCTTCGCAATTTTTTTCAAAGTAGTTTGATACATCTTTTTTAAAATAGAATAGATTTTATACTTATCTGAATGAACACTAGATGGCGACAAATAATCCATTTTTTCGAATTCAGTAATGTTTTCGAGAGATCAAAAATTTGTTGGGATGTCAAACACCCCATGTGCACTTTAAGGGTTAGAGTAGCTAGGTCGAATAGCTACGCCACACCCCTGCTAGAGATCCCCCAATAAAATATAATAAAATAATATATTTAAATTAATAAAAATACATATAAGAGAAATATACTTGAAAAAAGTATCGATCCAATGCTTTTCAGCATCGTGAACTGTATAATGATCGATCCTATTAATTTGTGGAAGCCAATAGAAAACATAATTGCGATAATTGCAAAGACGTGCCAAAGGACAGTCACCGTAAAGTGGATCATTAAAAACAACCGACTCTAATTTTTTCAACGGCCGTAAATTTTTCAGGTCCTGAAATATAACCTTAATCTATAAAAAAACTCATGTAAATAAAAAATTATTAATATAAAATAAATATACAAATTTATACAGTACTTTGATATGATACAGATGATTACCAGCCAAATTGACGTATTTTAAATTATAATTTTTCGTAAAAATATTTGGCAATCTTTTCAATTTGTTATCAGCCATATTTAGTTCCCTTAAATTTTCCAATTTACCGATATTCTATATTTATAAATATTTATATTTATTATTTAATTTAATTAATATTAAAATAATAATATAATTATATTAAACAAAAAAGATACAGAGGTAAGTCTAGCGCCATCTGTTAGACATAAATTGGATTAGTGAGTGATCTAGTGAGTGTGCCGAACATTTTAACATAACCTAACTTTTACCAATACTTTTTTTCTTTTTTATTTAACCAAACTGACCCACAGCAACACGTGGGAGGGGGAGGAGGACACAGCTAATATTAATAAACAAAAAAAAACAAGATGAAAAATATAAATTAATACCGTTAAACGATCAATCTTGTTTCCAGCTAACGAAAGAATTGTAAGTCGAGTAATTTTGGATAAATTTGGTAATTGTTCGATTTCGTTTGAATAAACGTAAAGCTTTTCCAATTTTGTGCATTCTTTTAAAGAAGATATATCCTAAAAAATGAAACAAAAATATAGAAAAATTCGAAAACAACAAAAATATTGTATAAAATACTTTTAAATTGCACTCGATCAGCCATAATTCTTGCAAGTGAACGAGTTTCGAGAGTTCGTTCAAAGATAACAAATTTATTTGTTGACCGATTATAACCAATGTGGATAAATTTAATTTTGTCGTGCAAATATTATTTAATGACAAATTTTCACGAAATATATATAATTCTTGACGTTTTTTTATTTCCTTAGATCCTACTGTAAAAAACAAACAAACAAACAAAAATCAATCTCATAAAATATGAGACAAATAATTTCATTAATTAAAAAATTAAATTAATTTACCCTTGAGAACATTTTCTTCTTTGACGGATATCATCGTGAAATTATCTTCCAATGTAATTAACAAATTAATTAACACAAAGAGTGGGCTATGAAAAATTGATTGATACCAAATTTTCTTGACTATCCCTTCATCTTGTTTTTGTTTTTTTATTTTTATTTTTTTTTTAATTCAATACTCGAATCGTGTAGTTGCTACATAGAATTTGTTTATTTGTTTTTCTTTTTATTTATTTATTTTTTTTTTGTTCTTTCATTTTGTTTTGTTTTTTTTTTATTTTTCTCATATTCGTATAGACAAACAAGTGTGTATAGGAAAATGATGCACATACACATTATACGAGTATGCATAAATTATTTTTTTGCACGTAGATTGTAATTATACATATTTTTGTGTATGAATTTGTTCAGAGTACATTTACGTATACATGCAAACATATACACTCACATATATACATGTTTTAGCATTGCAAAATAAAATATTAGTGTGGAAAGTGTTGGAAAAATTTTTGATTCAATAAGGATGCCGAAAATTCTAACAAACTTGGAAGCCATGTTTTGAAAAAATGTAAATTCAAGATGGATGCCGAAAATTCTAACAAATTTGGAAACCATTGATATTTAAATAGAATAAAATTATAAATAATTGACACATACATACACACACCCACATACATACATGTTTTAGCATTGCAATATAAAATAGAAATTTGAAAATTTCAGATTCAAGATGGATGCCAAAAATTCTAACAAATTTGAAAACCATTGATAT